ATATTTACCAAGCTAGCTCATGTGAACCCGCCAGCAGATGGTGTTACAAGTGGTCCTGAAGCCTCTACACATGATAATGGTGATCGAGCTCTTTTTTTTGGCTTGAATGACATTTTTATTGCAACTTTACTCTGTGGTATTGATATTGTAGTTTGTAGTTCGTGAAGTGCTGGAATAACATCTTTATTTTGCAGTGTCGTGCTCATATCTTTGTTTAAAGTTACAATTTGTTTTGTTTCATCAATTTCACTCAAATTGAAATTGCTAATATTTGTTGAAAAATGAAGTGCTTTTGTAAGCGATGAGGAATCCATTAGTTGCAAACAGCTGTTTATTATGGTACTATGTTCAGGTTGAAGCTCAACAAACTGATAATCTGGATCTTTGAAACTGTTATCAAAGTCCAGCAGTTGGAAATTATTGTTTATTGTTGTATTAGGTTCAGGTTGAAGGTCATCACAATGATAATTGTGATGACCTTCAAAATCCTCACATTCATTATCAGTTTCACCTGAGTTCATAAAATTTACAATTTCTTCATCACTCATTGCAGAGAGACTAAACTTTTTTTTTCCATTGTTTTGTTGTGGCATTTTCTAAAATCAAAAATATAGAAAAAAAGTACAAAAAAAATTAAAATAAAAAATAAATATATGTAGGTAAAATAAGAGGAGATTTTTATAGCCAAACCACTAACACAGTCTGTAGTCTACAGTGGTTATATTATTAATCCAAACCACTAACACAGTCTGTAGTCTACAGTGGTTATATTATTAATCCAAACCACTAACACAACAAACCACTAACACAACAAACCACGAACACAACAAACCACTAACACAACAAACCACTAGCACAACAAACTACGAACAAAACAAACCATTAACACAACAAACCACGAACACAACAAACCACGAACACAATCTGTAGAAGGTGCTCATAAAATACTCATTTTAAATAAATTTTTTTTTTTTATTTATCAAACAAAAAATATATCAAAATATAAGATCGAACAATTTATTACAAAAAATCTCAAGTCAATTGAGCTGTTTGAATATATTATTTTTATAATTTGAATTTGTAATGCAATCACACATAATTTTGACGGCTGTTTACTAGAAATTCTCAAAAAGAATAACCAAAACAATCAAACTACGTGCCAAAATGTGTTAAAACTTGTTATCATTTGTAGGAAATTTTACAGACTAAAAATGGCCTTAGTGGTTAAAACCAATTTTTTATTTAATTTGAATAGTATTACATTTTAGCAATGACCGTCTGTAGACGGTCTTAATGGTTTAAGGGTTAAATAATCATAAATTAATTATTATTTATTATAAATTTACAAAAATTTACAATAATACAAAATTACAAAACAAAACTCCAACTGCAATTAATGTTTAAGCTCAATTTAGAATTACTTTATCTTTAGTTAAAAATAACGCCATTTTTAAATTAAAGTAAATAATTACTTAAATGGTAAGCTATTAAAAAAAGTGTAAAAAAAAAAGTTTTAATAATTTTGAATAGAAGACTAACCAGAAAATATTCCAAAAATTATTTAGATTTGAAAATTATACATAAATTATAACTATTCATAAATAATAATTTTAATAAACTTTTTTTACATGCATTTATAAAATACTTTCTTAAATGCATGTAAAATAAATTTGTTAACTATTGTATATAAAGCCACCGCCTAAACATACTTTTTTTTCCAAAGCATGTTGGCTCACTTTGGGATTTATGTAAGCCATAAATATAAACATAATTCCGAAAAAATTATACAATTTGGAGTTATAATCATTTTGGGAAATCATTTTAAAGTTTTCAACTATTTGTATTTTTTTTTAAACATTTAAATTAATTAAATATTTTGAAAAATCATAAATATCTGTGACGGAAAGTTTTTACAAGTCTTGCCTCGATTTCACATGTTTTATGAAAGCTTATTGGGTAATGTCATGTAAAAACAAAGGTTCGTAAAAAGTTTCTGTCACAGATGTTTATGAAAAATTCTATTCAATATTAGTTCAAAACTAGAAAATCAGATTTCCTAGTTTCGATCTCGATTGTTAACACAAAGTTCTTTAAAATTGTTGGTGTTCAAAAATAGCTTGGATCAGGGTCTTTTTAGCATATACAGGAACTTCAACGCTTTTATAGACCTCATAATGAAAGTTACACCAAGTTAGATGTTGTAATAACATTTTTAAATGTCTTTTCATAAAAGAGTACATTGAACTTAACTTTATATATGTCTTAATCATCAGTCATAGAAATAATTTTCAATATCAATAATATTGATATATTATATATTATAGTTTTGTATTGTATTCAATATATATTATATTATATTTGCATTATACAAGATTGTAAAATTACTCTGAGAAAAGTATACAACATTCTGACTTATTCACATTTCTCTTGTTTTCGGCTCTGCTTTGGTTTTTAGCCAGAATGAAGTTATGTCTCTTCACCCGTCCATAAACCTTTTTAGAAGCATCAGATGTGAGTTTTACAGCTCTTTCCACCGACTGAAAATAGTTTGGCAAATCAGTTAAAGAAAATTTATTTCTGGTTTGAATAGCTTGTTTTAATTCATTTGAAGAAACCAAAATTGAAGTGGGAGATTCAATTTGTATTGAAGAAACTTCAATTAAGTCGGCCCAAATATCAGCATTGAAGTTCAAGGTCATAATTGTCTTAGCTTTGATTTTAGGTTTAAAATCTGGATTTGTTTCCCTGGATAACCTAATCTCCAAGATTTGATTGAGAGCACGATCTCTTACAACTTTTTCATTGTCTAGCAGCATAGCGTAAAGAAAATTTTATTGACAGCAGCAATACCCTAAAGATTTTTCAATACAATCTTTTCAATTCTGTCATCCTGTTTTTTGACTTACTGTATTGTTTTATGGAGGAACTTTGGTACATTTTTGTAATGCGCTGAACATTTTAAAGCAAACCAGATTGGACAGTAGACTTGGACTATGTACTTTGTGATACAGTTTAGATCATGTGTAGGTATCTCAGTTCTTATATATCATATCATATTATAATTCTTAAAGCAAGGGTTATCCAGCGTGCATGACAGACAGGACCAGGTTTCTTATTAGCATACTTGACAGAAATGGAACCTTTAGCTATTCTAACACAATACTCTTAAAGTTTATGCTGATCTGTACTCAGATCCCAAACAATGTCGGGATTTATATAAAACTCTATCTCAGAATCTATAGAAATAAACTGAACCAAAGGTTATTTATGCATGAATATATTAGATGCTTGTATACCAATAGGGCCTTTTTATTTTTTAGGGTCGTTAGTTTGTCCATCTATTTCAGATATAACATGATGAAGAGGTAGCTCACCCTAGTGAAGCAAACATTGAATTAAATGTATGCTACGATTCAAAAGTTTTTCTAATTTGACAACGAAACCATAATCTACGCCAGTGTTAGAACTTGTATTGTCAAGAACATTCGCTTCTAAGCTTCCTAATCGCTTCTTTGTTCCTTGTTGCCTCCGCTTGGTCCACATTGCCTAACTGCCAACTTCCTTTTGGTCCTATCTTGCGTCTTTGGTCCTTTAAATATTCTCTATCCAAAACAGGGACCTAAAATAAGTCAAATATTCTAAGTTTAAAAGTATTTAAATTTAAAGTGAATAGAATGAATTAATGGTCAAATGATTAGTGATCAATAACCATTTTAACATAAATTCATAAAAGAACAGTAATTTCTAAAATGACTTAAGGCTATTTTATTTTCCCTAACCTTACATATTTATGAATTTTAACTGTAAATGTCTAATAATATTAATACAAAAATGGCATGAATTACCTTTCTAATTTCCTCACAGAGACAAACTATGTGTTTCATTATGCAATTACTTTTCCAACATCCAATCCGTCTAAAAGTATATTATTTTACTATAAAATCAAAACAATATAGAAAACATTAATTGCATAGGCTTACATCTGTTAGTTTACAGTTGTAGGCCTTACTTAAATACCTTAGCAAAAAGCAGAGAGGTAGTAGGTAGAGGTAGTAAATTTTCATCTACCTTTACAAAATATTTTTTCACTTAACATTAAAAAAAAGTTGTAATCAAAAACTTTAAAAGATATATATTTACCTATCATTACAATCATCAATAATTAGAAGATCGCACCGGCAAGCAGATACATCAAATAACGTTTCCAGTTTCTTTTCTAGCCAGCTCATACTAGATTTACGGTTTTTAGATTGAATTCGTTCTGCAGACAACACTTTTAGAAATGTTCTCGATATTTTATTTTTCAATGGTTTATCTTTTATGAGAGGTAGATTTGGATTAACCCTACACCAAAGCTGTTGCAAGTCACTATTGACCTTTGTCATGATTGATACAGAGTCAATTTACTGTCCATTAAATAATTCTTTTGCTTTTCTAGCAAATATTCCACTATTAATACAAGTTTTATTTAAAACTTTCACAGGTTGTTCAAGTTTTTTTGAGCTCATGCTGATATGACAATATGAATTTATTATATAATTAAAAAATAAAACAAGAAACTATTTTTCCATTTAAGTTTCTGAATGAAATATGCTTTAAACTATTTGTTAAAAACAATTAACTTGCGTTTTAGTTTTGTAAATAGATTTTTTATTGAATGCAAATCTTCATAGTTTGCTGTATATTTTCAATAGCTCTACGTTTTTTTAAAAAAATCCGCATGAAAGTAGAGTTCTATTTACGGACCTTAAGTGACTCCATGTAGAATTTACAATTTTTTAAAATTGTAAAAAAGTTTTTTGACGTTTTTTTTTGTGCCAAACGAATAATATATCCACAATACATAAATCCCACACTGAGCCAAGTATTATCATATACATGACGGTGGCTTATTGTATATACATGTTGCGGTTAAAATTTTCACAACAAAACTTACCCTGTAAAACATGCATTTAATTCAAAAATCTGATCAACTATTGGTAATCAATACATTAAATTACCTTTAAAAATTGAATTAAGTCAGGACCACACCGCAATCCATTTTTATCAAACATGAAAAAAGCATCAACTTCAGCAATACCCTGACACAATAAAAAAAATTACCTTAATTAAAAAATATATTATACGTATTTTTGTGTTTAAATAATTACTTTTAGTAACATTATTTATTATTTAAACAAAATTTAAAATAATATGACTATTATATTGCAACTGATAAGATACCCTACAGTACGATTTAGAAGATTGATTTTGGCAAGTAAATAAGGATCATCATTTGCTGTTCCATTTTTTGATGTCATAATTTTATAAAAATCTTTTACAGGAAGCAATAACTATTAAAAAAAAAAAAAAGTTATAATTAATGATAATAATAATTATTATTTTTATATTTATAATATTTAATTTACTATTTTTATATTTATAATTATATCTATAATTTATAACTATCTATCTAAAATTGTTAAATCCATAATTGTTAAATAAACTAAAAAGTATATTTAACAAAACATAAATAAAAAACTCACTGAATCATATTGATTTGATGGAACTTCAACATACCCATACATCTGAAGCAACTCAGTATTGCCTAGTTTGCCAAATGTATTGAAGACTTCTTCTCCCTTAAATTTGTTTAAATTATTTATTTTTTGGCTGTTATAAAAATATTTTAAAAATGTAAAAAAAATTTAGTAAAAATTAACAACTCAACTTTCAGATTTCTACAAAAATAGAAACTAACAGTTGCAAAAAAAAATTTCAAGTGATTTTTTTAATAATTTATTGTTGTTTTTTTAATGTTATAAAAGTCCTTCATATATAAATGATACCTGCTAAATTCCAAACCCTCGCTCAATGTATATATTGAAGGCCCCACAGCTCCTTATTTTACCATGAAAACATTATGTTATGATGTTTTATGCTAATGTGATTGTGTAATGGCAGAGCGCTGGCTTTGTAAGTAAGAAGTTGTTTGTTTGTGCAGCGGCCTTGTACGTAAAGGCTTTTAGAGTTAAAAAGTGGAGAGAGGGTTGTAACCACAATAAATTTTTTTTTAAAAAAATTAGCCTTTTCAACTATAGTGATCCCCAAATATTTCTTGTGATTTTGTCTATTTCTCTATTACATCTCTAATATTTTTAAATATTAGAGTATATACACTATATTACAGAGTATATATTAATAAAATTCATATAATATTTAATGTTTCAAAGTGAAAAAAAAAAAAAAAAACTATAGATAAAAAAATAAGAAAAAAAAACCTTTTTGATCCTTCGTATACTAATCATTTGTAAATTGGACTTGTGAAACACTAAGTGTGCATTATTGTTACTATGATGGTTCAAGATATCTGCCATGGGGACCATAGATGGTGACTCCTCATCCTCTGTAAAACTGTAGGCCATCACAAAAGCAACCATACGTTTGAAAAACTCAAGGCTGTAATTCTCTAGGCTATGTTAAACATAATCTTAATTTTCTTACTTTCTTACTTTCCAAAAAATATTTTAATGCTATCTAAAAATGTTTGCTACATATTGAAACTGTTTAACTATATATTAGGTATGTATTCCCTTTATATCTCTCTTTATTAAAATCCTTACATCTTTTTTTTTTTACTTATTGAACATGCTTAACTTTATATTAGGTATATCTTGTCTCTATATCTCTCCTTATTCAGTTCTCTACATCGCTGGTTTTACTTATTGAAATTATTGAACAACTTTATATTTTTTTCTTCTTATTTCTTTATATCTCTCCTTACACATAGGCATGAAATTAACATCAAGATCAAAAAAAATTTTGTCTGAAAATTTTTGTACTAGGTCATAGGAATAAGCATGGAGATGATTTTCACAAATTTTTAAAAATATTTTGCCTAGTTCGAGAAAGTTATGGCAAGTTATGGAGAAAGTTATGGAGAAAGTTATTAACACTTCGATCAAAATCCTAAAATACAGAAAATACTTATTTCCTTTATTTTCAAAACAAAGGTTCCAAATTGATTACACTTTAAAGTAAAATTTTTTTCTTGTAATACTAATAAAAATTTATGGTTTTACAGGACTGACGATGGGAATGGGAAGGGGGGGGGAGGAGCCCTCTCCAACACACACTTTTTTTCTGAAAATCCTTTTTTTTTTTTAAAAAAAAAAAAAGAAAATTCAGGGTATAGAGGACTTTTTTTAGAATTTGATTATTGTGACCCCCCCCCCCCCACACACACACTTTGAAACTTGTGTTGTCAGCCACATTTTATGAAGAAATACTTCATTGAGAACTATAATTCCTTTAAAGAGCATTTACCTTCTGCCATATGGGCTAGATGTAGACTAATATTTTATTACACAGACAGTTATTGGCCAAGCTCCCCGTGTAGCAGAAATTATTGCTTATGATGTTATCAAAATGAAATTTGCAGATCTAACGATGGAGGCTCAATTGCTATTTTAGCAACAAGAGGGAGGGATTTAACAGTCACAAAAAGTGTCAATTCTCAAAAATTAAGAGCACGTTTTCTTTTGAATCCTGTGTCTGCTGAGGAAATTAGTACATTGCAATCTACTTTAGGTCTCTCTTTGACACAAACTCACAAAGCAGCTACTTTTTTTCAGAACTTGGAGTGGTTGTAAATCAATTGAATCAGGTTTGGTTGGAAAATTAAACCAATCAGACAAAACACTTGATTTATTCTTCAATAATGGACTTTGATGTTTCCAATGGTGATGAACAAAGTGGAAAAGCTCAGCCCTAATTAATTTTTTATAATGACTTTTTTGGTTTGTTTGAATACATCCTTGACCATCGAGACCTTCCACCAGATGATTATATGATCAGAATAGGCATTGATTTAGGTGGAGGGTTTCTCAAGGTTTGTATGAATATATTGGATAGCCAAAAAGAATAAACAAATCATAAGTTTTCGTATTCAAAAGGTACATCTTAAGTCTTTTGTGACTCAGGAGTCAAGAAACTCATGATCTTGGTAATTGTTGTCTGTGAAAGAATCTTACGAGAACTTCTAGCAAATTCTAGAGTTGCTTTGTCTTGAAAGTAAAAGTCTTGAAGTAAAAGTGTTGCTTTTACTGCAGCTGTGGACATAAAACTTGCAAATGCTTTTCTTGGATTAGGCTCAGCTGCATCTAAATATCCCTGCCCTTGGCGTAAAACTTCAAAGAAAGATTTTGGGAACCAAGAAATGACAGGACAATTAAAGACACCTGGAAGGATTAGATCCAATGCCAATAATTATCAGAAAGATCTCAATTTTCATTCAAAAAAAATCAAAGCTCTAGGCAAAAGTTGCATGAACCTACCTCTGCTTGATCTTCCAGATGAAACAAAAATTCTTGATATTCTGCCAACCATGGAATTGTATATGGTTTTAGGAATTACCAACAGGCTATTTGATCATTTGATAACTATCCTTAGCAAAACCAATTCTTGTTCTTTGAAAGCTACTGACTGGTCAAATAAACTAAGCATTTACAGGCCACCAATCCATGGAGGAGAATTCAATGGAAACAAATGTAGGCATCTCTTAAACAATGTTGGGGTCCTAGAAAAATTGCTTGCAAATGCCAAAATTGGAAATGAAGGAGAAAATCTTATTTCTGGATTTAAAACATTTAATGCAGTCAGACAGACATACTTTGGGAATGGTCTAGTTTCCTCTTATAGTGATTCTATACTTTCTTTTGAAAGAGCATATAAAGCACTTGGAATTTCAATTACACCTAAAGTTCATCAAGCACATACCTGAGTTTATTGACAATCAGACTGAAAAGCATAATATTACCCAGCAAAGACTTCCTCCAACTCTACGAAAAAAAATTTCAAAAGTTTGGATTTTGGAGTGAGCAAAAATTGGGTTTTGGAGTGAGCAAGCATTCAAATCAGTTCATTCAAATTTCAGCAGGCTATGGTAAATAGTTGCTAGAAAACAGGTGCTTACAAATGAAATTTGGATCATTCAGAATACAGTAAAAAACTAAAGAATTGTGTAATAGCATATTGGTTAAAGCATCTCTAAAAGTCAATAGTGAAAAACTAGTTAAAATTTGTAACTTCGTTGAAATTAAAGAATCCTGTAAAGATAATAACAAATTTCTAAATTTTGATGTAAAGAACATAGAAAAATGTTTTTTTATTTAAAAGTGTTATGTTCTATTCCATAGTATAGTAATATAAAGAATAGCTTTACAAATTTGATGTGAATAAATAATCTAATGTAAAAATAGTAAAAATAAATTTACAATGAACTTTTTTAGTATTTTTCTATTTTAAAATTATCTCTGGGTAACTAATGTTTATGATCACATTGTTTTGTTCTGATTTTTATGTTAATAATGAAAATTAAAAAAAAAAAAAATTTTTAAATAGTCCAGAAGATTTTTTGCAAAATAAAGCAGCCAAAAAATATTGTTTTTTAAAGGATTTAGATGAAAACACTAAAATGATCATAACTTTCTTGGACATTGCCAATCTTCAAAATTTGTAAAGATCATGTCCATGCATATACATAAGATCTAGGATAAAAATTTTCTGAGGAAATTTTTTTTACCATAATGGTAATTCCATGCCTATGTGTTTATTGAAGTTCTAACATTTTTTTTTCTTTTGTTGCAAAAACAAATTAAAAAACTGCAATAAATTACCTTCCAAATAAATCTTTGTTTCTTCTGAGAAACAAAAGAACAAATTCTGCATACTCTGTCTCAATATTTTCCCGATCAACAATTATGTCGTTTAACAAAGGCATACCTATTTGAAAATATTTTAAAACTTTAAACAGATCAGTTTTTATAAAAGTAAAAGAAAACAGTATTACCAAAAGAAACATACCTTGGAACTCTAAATTATACTCTTCTTCTTTCCAAAAAAGAGGATGCCCGAATTCACTGATTTCAGGTACTAAAAGCAAATATGATGCCCAAAATGAGTCTTTTTGATTAAACTCCCACATTAATGTAATCAATAGAGGTAACCAACCACTGCTGTCATTCAGACTAAAAAAAACTACTGCTGTCATTCAGACTAAAAAACCAAAAAAATCAATTTTTCTATTTAAGAGATGTTTGACAATTTGCAAATATAATTTAACATTAAGATATTTTGAAAAAAATAAGTCAGATGTATAAAAGTCGAACCAGACAACAAAGTCTACATAAACATAATAATTTATAAATTGTTCTAAGTTTTTTAAGCTACAAATTAAACAGAAAGGTTTTTATACAGAGTATTTACTACTTAATAAGTTTCAATATTAAATTTTTTCTATTGGTCAATTATTTCAGATTTTTCTGATTCAAGGGCGAGTCTACTTGGCTAAGTCTTTTAGGCGATTCTTGATAATTTATTCTATTGTGAAATTATTTTAGATTTCTTGCCTGCCAGTTTTTAACAATAGTAAAGGACTGTGGTTAAAATATGACTGGGGCTGGGTTTGATAAAAAATAGCTGAGATAAGGTTTTTAACCAGGGCTGCATTAACATTGATACATCCTAAAGTTTTTTTTTTTTTAAGTTCAAAATTCATGTTATATATATATATATATATATATATATATATATATATATATATATATATATATATATATATATATATATATATATGCATGCATAAATAAATCATGATCAACACGATCATCAATATTATCATCTCTCTCTCCAAGTTTTCTTATTTCTACCACTATCATTTTCTCTTGAAGTTGTTACCTCTCTACAAGCTAATACCCAAATTACTTTAATCTGACAAAGATTGTTCGATACAATATTTTTTCTAATCTCTGCCTATGATTATGGCTCTTTTTCTTGTCTTAATACCACACATCCATATGACCATCATCTTTACTTTTGGCAAATACTACATCATAAAAATATTAAAGTTTACATCAATATGTAAGGATATTGTATGCCAGCATCAAAATAAACATGGATATAAACATGTTTATATCCATGTTTATTATAAGGAAAATTTTCAAGAGTGTTATTAACTAAATTAAGTCTAAGATTTAATCTCTAATTCATGGGTTTCATCTTATTATTTCTCTCCAGAATAAGACAGAGTGCAATTATCCTACAATTACTAATTGAAGACAGAGTCTTCAATTATCCTACAATTACTATCATACAAATAGTCTTCTATCTATTATTAGTTTCTTTATATAAAGGTTTTGAGATTATAAAATCGTTTCTTTCTAACTGCAGTTTTAAAGGTATTCTTGAAAGCCTACACTCTTATTTAATTCCAGTAACTTAGAGGGTACTGTAAGGTATCTTTGCTTATGTATTGTTTATCTACAATAACAATCTACCTGAAAATCTTACATTTAAAGTGGCTCCATTTGCTGACAACTTAACTTTTTTCTTGACGAAAAGTCTTCACTTTTTGATTGCTTAGAACAAGCAGCCGATTTTTAATTTGATCTCTCCTCTTTAACAGTTTGGGGCTTGCAGTGGCTTGTGGATTTTAACTCCTACAAAATTCAGTTATTTACTGCTAACAACTGTCACAATATTGTTAACTTAATAGTTAAACTATGTAATCTTTAAAACACAAATAATTCAATTAAACCAAATAAAAATGTAAATTTTTACTATTAACTAAATCCCAGTTTCCGAATGTAGTACTAAAAATCCCTACTAAGTTCTCACTAAAACTGGCCGAGTAAAAAGCCTATTATTCCAACTAAATTCTGACTAAAACTTGCTAATAAGGTTAATGGCCAAATAAAAACTTGAGTATTCCTATTTAGTTCTGATTTAAACCTGTTTTTACTACTTAGTTCTATGCAAGTACCTGTCAGGAACTTAGTAAGTATTACCATTGCAACTTACTAAGTCCTTAATAGGACTTGCTGGGTTTTTTTTATCGGGTAGTGGTTCATTTTTGAAACACAGTGTCTTTAGAAAAGAGAAAAATATCAAACTGTAATGTCTTTAATAAGGAGAAAAATACCAGACTGTAGTATCTTAAAGAAAGAAAAAAATACCGAACCGCAGGTTAAGAAAAAATACCGAACTGCAGGATCTTTAAAAAAAAAAAAAAAAAAGAGAAAATAAACAAAGTGTCTTCAAGAAAAATATTCTTTGGTAAAAATACAAATTTGTAGTGCTTTTAAGACAGAGAAAAATACCAAACTGCAATGTGTTTACTTTGGTTAAAATACTGAATTGCAGTCTCTTTAAAAAATAGAAAAACACTAAATTGTGTCTTTATAAAAGAAAAAAATGTCAAATTGTAGTGTCTTTAAGAAAAAGAAAAATACATTTAAGAAACCTTTGTCACTAAATTACTGATTAAAATTGAAAATTAAATAATAAAATGTGTATTAATAAGTAATGAGAAATTAAAAATAATAAAACAAAATTAATTAAAATAAAAATGATTTTGAAAATTTTTAAATTGACAATAACAATCATAATATTTCATTGAAAAAAATATAAGATATTTATAATTCAATAGAATTGCTAAGACTGTAAAATTTTTTACAACTTTACAGAAAACATAACTTGATTTTAATGTAAAAACAAACTTGCTATATAGTAATAAAAAGTCTAATAAAAGTTAAGAAAGCATTTATACCTTTTCCCGTGAGTATCAAGCCATTTTTCAAATTCATTCAATCGATTTTTAAGTGTTGCAGTATTTTGGTTAAGTAGAAGTTGACGTGGCACAGTGAAAAGCACTTCACCTTTTTTTATATCTTCCGTAGCTAACATGCCATATCGATGACTGGTACCATTGAAATCAACTTTAACCTGAAAAATATAATTCAAAAGGTATATTATTTTATTATTTACTAAAAGTAATTATTTAAGTTTTTGATTTAAATTTATTAATATTCTTTTTTTATACATATATTAATATATGTATAAAAATTGATACATATCAACAATGAATACCCTTATTTAGAAATATTTCTTTATAATACAAGACACAAACTTGTTAAAATTTTATAACAAATTTTTCAATTATTGTAACAATTTGTATCAATTAGGTGACATGTTGATATTTTACTATTGCTAGGTTTTATAAATAAAGAATTTTAAAATTTTATAAATTGTATAGTTGCTAGTTGTTGAGTCACAAGTTGTATATTGAATTGCTATTGTTATGTTTATATAGTGAACAACTTTTGTAACAGTGAGATGGTTAAAAGTGGCAGATAAATAGTAATAACAACAAGCTTTTATATGAGATGAACTATTCAAGAGGCAGCTCAAACCCTGCTTAAAAAAACAAAAAAAAAAAGTAATAAATCATAGTAGAATAGAAGTTTCAATGAAAACTAGAAAAATATAAAATAAAGAATTGATTGAGAATTATAAAATTATATATATATATATATATATATATATATATATATATATATATATATATATATATATATATATATATATATATATATATATATATATATATATATATATATATATATATATATAAGAATTGTAACAGTATTTTATTTTAAAAAGAAATTCAAAAAGAAATTTAAAAAATTAATTTCCTTTAATAAATTTATCAACATTTTTCTTGTGTTTAAACTTATTTAATTTTTCCAGTTCAAAGTGGTTTAATTAAATGTAAATTTAACTGTACATGAAATGTCACTAATGATTTTATAATGAAAAAGTTATATGTGGTGAGTTTAGTAGATATGTATGTCTACTAACGCCACCTTCATACGAGAGCTTTTGTTTTTTTGCACAAGCTATCTGTTGATTTCTATAAAAATTTCTTTTTATATACAAAATTTGGTTTTATATTTGTAACAAGCATATATTTGTAATGTTACAATAATACATTACATAACAAACGTTGTTTATTGCACAGTGAAAAAAACCATTAGACGTAAAAAAAATTTGTGCAAAAACCATGTCTTTTAAAAAGCATTGCAGTTTATTATCCAATTAATTAATTTTTTTAATAAAAATTACTTTGTGTTTTTCATTTTAGTTACAATGATAATTATACTTTTGAGGAAAAATTTATACTTTTGCAAGAGTTGTAAATTGCTCCCGTAAACCGTTTAAAAGGGGCAAGAACAAGAGCTCTCGCTTCCTGCCAAGGCCTGAAAAGAAACATATAGTCCTGCATTTAATGCGTAAAATGTGTATTAACAAAGTCAAAGCTATAGAATAAAACTATTTAATGATTAATGACTTTTGATATTTTGCACATACTTTAAAATAAAAAATACTTATCAATACATCCAACTTATATAAAATATCTATGAGACTGCATTATTGAAATAACCATTAGATTAAATACAAACCTTGAGCAAAGTCTGTGGCAGGCAGGCAGTGTAAAGAACATTTATTAACTGGTAGTAATTATTCTAATTGCTATTACAAAATCAAGAAGTAGATTAAAAATTTTAAAATGAAACAAACTTAACAAAATTCTGGAGAAAAAAAAATGATCTGAAAAAATAGTTTTATTTTAATTTTATTAAAAATATTACTTTAATAGTTTTCTTCAGAAGTTATATCAATTTCAGAGCTTGATATAAAATGTTCTTTCTTTGATTCTAATGTTAGCTGAGGAACTTTGTTTACAAATTTTTTCTATGCCATGCCATCATGTTTGGGCAATAAAGAATGTGCAAAATAAATATAAGCTATATGTATTTATGATAAATATAAGTTATATCAATAAAGTTTTTGGTACAACTAATACAGATACATAAAAATTTTGTGGTGCAGCCACAAAACGACAGAATTGACTCTAAATATAAAACTACAAAAATTGTTAAACTTGGAACTAACTTTATATTGGATTCCAACATGGTTAATTAGCTATAACCTGGTTTTAGTTAGTTAGAAAGATACAGAAAGTTTTATTATGGAAGTGCCAATAATCACTTTTTTTCAGGTCTTGACATGTAGGAATAAGCTGTGAACTAAAAGCTAAGGTTGGGGAAATGAACATTGACTGACATAATATTTATGGATGGGCACAATATAATGTGCATGTGGAAAAAGGTACAACTTTGGGTATGGTTTTTACTTCATGTTTAAATAACAATAATATCTTTTTTCGATGTTATATCCAAAACAAAATTAAATATCAAAAAAGTTTGAAAATAAGATTATTTACTTTTTGTGATATTTTCTAGTATAACTCCTTTCCATATTATTTCATTTTAAATTTTATATTATTGACATTTTAAATTTCAGTACTGATATTTTTTACATTATTAGCAAATAACAGGAACCCTAGCTTATTATGACTTTTTTACTAAACCTGGTCCTTGTTAAAGAAAAATCAATCAGACTATATATATATAGAGGGTTTACTAGGAAAGTCAGTAACCCCTCTATATATATAGTTACTCTAACAAAGTCATATATATATATATATATATATATAGAGGGGTTACTAGCAAAGTCTAAAAATTTTTTATAGAAATTTTTCAAAAACTATAAGTAGAATACAAATAAAATACAAACAAGAAAAGTATTTAAAAATATTTAATGATTGCAACCTTGAAAACTTGAAATCTCAAACATTTCTCAAACTTTCACTTTATAGTTTCGAAAATCTTAAAATTTGATTATTAAAAACTTTAAAAAAAAATTCAACATTTTCATAAATATTTGTTTTCAATTTAAAAAAAATCAAAATTAAGGAATAAAACAAACATATTATCGTTTTATAAATTTTTATAACTTTCATAAATTTCATTTTTTATTTTATTTCATCTATTTTGTGTAAAACATGTAATAATTATAATAATTACTTTTCTTTATTTACATCTTGAAATTTTTATTTTCATTATCATGAATGCTGCAATAGTAAAAGCTAGATGCATTACCAATAATAAGGGGTGCATTACTATAAAAATATAATAACAAACTGAACCTCTAGACCACCCTATTCCCCAAAAACTTATAAGGAATTTGTTCTTAACTTTTGTTTGACAACAGAATTTAGGAACAAAAAGAGAAAAGTAGTAGGTAAATTCAGTAGCAGTACAAAAGCAGCGATTGTAGTTGTAAGATGTGTGATATGCTTGTATTATTTAAATAATAGAAGCATATCACACATCTAATTTGATTTAAAGGTGAAGCAGAAGACACATTAAACCAGAGAAAATCAAGGTCTAAAGCTTATAGATACCATTTATAAAGTAGGAAAATTTATTTTTCTGAAAAAAAAGTAATATTGGTACATATTGTAAAATATGAAAAAACTCAGAAATAGTAAATAACAGAAACATGAAGAGACTGGGATTAAAATAGAAATAAAATAAGAAAAAAGCAATACTATTACTATTAAGTAAAATAATTAAACAAGCAGCATAATTAAAGAAGCGGCATAATTGAAAACTTCCTAACTTATGTAAGTGTTAAAAAACAGATGTTAAAACTGTAATGGTGATGATGATAATGATGATTTTAACGATAAACTAGTTAATTCCAAAAATTTTAGTTAATCACATTTAATTAGTTTATCATTTAGTTAATCACAATTAATTTAAACTTGGCTCTAGTCATATTTATTTAGACCTCAGACCTCTTAAATTAAATTAGATCTCAGTAAAAATCAAGCACTTAATTAAACAGTTAATGTTATTAAAGAAGAGAATTTTTTGAAATTATTCTGGTGATCAAAAATATTTCAATAAAAATTTTAATATAATTAATGTAATATTGTATTAAAAAAAAAATTATAAAAATAAACCTTGGATGATAAGTTGAGGTTGTTAGCCTTACACCATTGTAAAAAATTTAACAATTTCTTTTCAACAGTCCATTGCTCAATATTTTGGCCACCTACAGACTTATCATTATCTTTTTCATTATCTGAAAAAGTTATTACTGTGTTAGGTTGCATAATAGGAATGTCTCTAATATTACAAAACTTCTTTGGTTTTTCGTTACAGTCTTTGTCATCTACATTTTTACTATAAGATGCAGTATCAGCAATATCAATAGGCATTAAGTTCTCTTGCTCAACATGTGATTCTTTTTTTAAATTATCAAGGATTTCATTTCCACAATCATGCTTTTTGGAAAAACATTCTTCGGACATCTTCTAACATTCAAATCATTGTTATTATATTTGTTCTATTATTCTTCAAAACATCTATTAGTATATTCTCTGAAACAAAAATAAGCAAAACATTGAAAACACACACACTTTGTTCAAACATATAGAAACATTTCTGGGCAAATATGAGCTCATTTGGTCAATATTTAACTAAACAAAGTTGTAAAATTAAAAGCTTTTACTATTAACTGATAATTAATATTTATCAATCCCAATTAAATAATTTTCAGATGTGGTTGTTTAGGACTACTCTATTAGGAAATTCTATTTATAGTTCTTTGTGCAGACTGCAGATGTGTTTACTATTTGGCAGACATCTTTAACATATTTATTTTCTAACATTCTATAAGTTATATTTTAAAATAAAATTTAAAAATAGATGAAATAATGATAGAAACAATGTTCAATGAAAATTAAAAGTAAAACTTTAATTCAGCTACTAGTTTCTGAAGAAATTGAGATAAATGGAAGCAACTCTTCAAATAAACAAGTTTTTTTAAGGTTTTTTATTTTCACCCCAACAAATATTTGAAAAATGTGACAATTTGGGCAACATCTTTTGTCAAAACAGTAATAACTATTTGGAGTAAAACTCATTGCTATATAAGATCAGTTGTTATGGCACAGATTTCAAATGAAATTAGGACAAGACTAAAATTAAAGCAGATATAAAATATATAAATTCTTAGAAGCCATGAATGAGATAGTTGTGGTCAAAACATCAAGTAGGGACAAAACATGTTCCTACAATATAAACTTGAATGAATAAATCAATAGAATTCAATCAAAAAGCATTTTTGTTAAAAAAAAAAAAAAAACTGTACACAATAAAACAATATTCAAAAATTAGAAATGTATATTTGACAAGTATTTCTGTGTCCCTGCAAAGTTAGCTCCTGTCAAACATTTTTTGTCAGAGTGGATTGATGTGGCCTCATAGAGCTTGTATATCCGATTTGTTGCTTGAAACTTTGATGTATCTTAAACTTAACAAAGACATAGGCTATATAATGATAGTTAATGCCTTTGTCATATAGTTAATGCTAATAACTAATATCAACATATTTTTAATTAAAAGATGTTAATTTTAGTTGTTAGCATTAAGGACAAAAATATATTATTATTTTTATTTATTTTTGTTTTTGGCTTTCATATTATGTATGGCCAAAATTTAAGTCTTTTGATTTAAAAATGTTTGCATAGGCTTGACCTTGCAACTCTTGTTCTTTTTTTATACTAATTTTATGATATTTGTATATTTTTTTTTAGCTTTTATTTTATTTGTATTTTTATTTATACATATTTAAATTTATTATTTTACTATAAAATATATTTTATTATAAAAATATATTTTTTATATTAATTTATGTTATTTTTATTTATTTATTTATACTATATTTCATTTTTAACTTCTTCTATTTACAAAAACGATTAATTACAATAATATAACCAAATTTAAACCTTGCCGTAACCCTAAGCCTGACCTTGATGCCTGGCCTAACCAAACCCTCAGTCGATGTAGCAGCACTCCCTTGCGAGTCAGGCTATTTGTCAGTTGATGCATGTACTTTTTGTTCTCTATAAAAGTTTCTTATGGGTACATTTTTTTACAAAAAAAATCATGCTTATGGGGACAAAAAATTAACGGGTACACTAAAATGTCCCCGATAACGCTAATGTCCCCGTAAGTGTTAGTTAAAATCTGTCCCCATAAGTGCTAAACTAGGTGTGTATATATATATATATATATATATATATATATATATATATATATATATATATATATATATATATTTATATATATATATATATATATATATATATATATATATATATATATATATATATATATATATATATATATATATATATATATATATATATATATATATGTAAAAGTAGTTACTGGTGTTGTTCTTGAGCAAACCTTTGATAGTTCAGTGACCAAATTATCAAAGAAAGATAAATAAACTAATGCTTATTGGTTCAAAGTTGGATTTTATAAATAAAATTATGAGAAAAACTATTAAAAATAAATTAAACAACTTTTTTGAACAGATTTAGATAAGTTAAATAAAAACAGTATAAAAAAATAAAATAAAAAACTTAATAATAAAACATAGTTAAATATAATAAAAACTATTTTAATTCAAAAAACCATTAAAATTCTATTTTTAACTTTAAGAAAAGTTCACAAGTTTAAATATTTTTTATATTTTGAAATGTTTTAACTAATAAAAAAAGTTAAAATAAATAATGCCTAATATATGGATATTTTAAATTCCCATAAACCAATATGCCAAGATGTTCAAGGCCAGGGTCAAAAGTTTCACGGCGAAAGCCAAGACCAAAACCAAGGCCTTAATTTTTCGTCTTAAGGCAAGACCAAAACTAACAACTCTGTGTGCATATATATATGTATATATTAAATATATATGCGGTAGTGGTGTAGTGGTAGAGCGCTCGCTTCATAAACGAGTGGTTCCAAGTTCGATCCCCACCACGTCCCTGGTAGTACCGCGCTTAACTCGTTTCTCCGCGCAGCGGCCTTGTTCGTCAAGGTTCGTGTTTCGGAGTTATAGAGTTGAGAGAGGGTTATAGCCACAAATAAATAGCCTCCTCGTCTGTAGTGGCCTTCTCGGCCTTGAGGAGGTGAATCAAAATAAAAATAAATATATATACTAGGTTGGTTGAAAAGTTTGCGAAGCGGAAATGAAAAAACAATTTTATGATTCAAAAAATGACTTTATTCTTCAGTATATTCTCCCTTAAGAGCAATACACTTTTTCCAACGATTCTCCAATTCATGTATCCCATCTCTGAAGTGCGATTCCGGAAGGCCTTCAAAATACCCATTTACGGCTGCAATGACTTCTTCATGTGATGAGAAACGCTTTCCACGTAGAAATTTTTTGAGATGTGGAAAGAGGTGGAAGTCGGACGGAGCCAGATCTGGTGAATAAGGGTGGATGTTCCAAGCGTTCGTACTTTAATTCGACCAATTTCGCCTTTGCAACATCGCTGATATGAGCAGGTGCGTTGTCCTGGTGATAAATGATTTTTTTATGCAGCAAACCAGGTCTTTTCTCACGAATTTTTTTATCCAACTGGTCCAAAAGATTTTTATAATATTCACCTGTTATCGTTTTACCGGTTTGAAGGTAATCTATTAATAAAATTCCTTTCGCATCCCAAAAAACTGATGCCATAACCTTCTTTGACGATTTTGATGCCTTCACTTGCTTCGGAGCTGAACAACCGGGTTCTGTCCACTCTGCAGTTTGTTGTCGCAGCTTCGGATCATAGTGGTAAACCCAAGTCTCATCCATGGTTACGAATCGACGCACAAAATCTGTTTTATTCTTTTGAAAACGGGCCAAATGTTCTTGAGAAAGTTTTACTTGAGTGCGTTTCTGATCCAGAGTTAGCGAATGCGGCACCCATCTTGCCAACAGCTTTCTCAGACGTAATTCATCGTGCAAGATGTGTAATACCCGTTCATCTGAGATGCCCACAGCCTCAGCAATTTCACGTTTGGTCAATCGTCTATCATCCATAACCATGTCATGCACAGCATTAATCGTTTCTTCAGTAGTAGCACTTTTTGGACGTCCAGAGCGAGGGTCATCTTCAAGGCTTGAACGCCCACGTTGAAACTCCGCAGCCCATTTGCATACTGTTGTTTTTGAAGGAGCATCATCACCCAACACATTTACCATTTCATTATGAATTTCCATGGGCTTTAAACCTTTTTTCACAAAGAATTTTATTACAGCACGATGTTCAATATTTTCCATTTTAAAAAATACTATGACACGTCTAATTTCAATAGCTTGTAAACAAAGACTGAAATGACATATAGACTTGAAATTTTTTATGCGTTCATACGAAGAATGAATACGTTTAATACAGTTATAAATTTGTTTCTACTACTGCAACATAGGTGCCGCTCCGCGAACTTTTCAACCAACCTAGTATATATATATATATATATATATATATATATATATATATATATATATATATATATATATACATATATATAAGTATGATGAAATTATTAAAGTATTATTAATATGAAAAATAATTATTACATTATTAGTAGTTTTCACATTCGATGAGTTCTAACATTAAGGTTCTAATTATTATTTTGAAAATTGAAGTTAAATCAACATCAAAGTATGTTCTGTTTGCTACAGAGGGTATTTTAAACTAATTGCAATTTTGTTACTTGAGGTACAATTTAAAATAATTTTATAATTCTTTTCTGATAATTAGCATGGTTAAAAAAAATTGAATTAAGCAGAAAAAAGATATAGTAAGATTGGAAAAAGTGTTAAATATTTCTGGTCTCCAATAAAATGGCAGGGGTGTTTATTCGGCACAAATAAAAATCCCTCTATGAAGCTTCAATAGAGCTCATCCAGTTGGTGTATACCTATGTCTACTTAGCTAAAAGAGAGCAGGTTGTCTTTAACTTAACTTATAAATTACTTTCTTAGTTTAAAAATATTTCAAAAAAGAAATACATTATCATATAGTTTACATAAGTGTTTAAATTTTACATCTAAAGCTTTCCAGCACAGGTAACATACATTTAAAAAGCCTAATATTCTATATTAGTAACCAAACAATTTAAATTGTTTATACATATTGTATAAACTAATTTATACAATTGCATAAACTATTTTAATTAAGATAACAGTCATCAAAGTTTGCTGATCGAATAAGATCATACAAATTCTACTTTGTTTTATAGTATATTTTTTCAGAAACTTATTAAACTACATAACATAAGCTACATAAGTTAAATGCATAAAAATATAACCTATTTTTATATAATCTAAAATATATTTTTTCTAAATGACCTTTACAAAGTCTGGTGTAAAAAACTAATAAACTTAAACCTTCTGCAAGCTAGGGGTGCATGTTGCACAACTCAGCTCAGGTTTACCATTAACTGCTGATCATTATCACTATTTTAGGTTTTATTCTTTTTTTAAAAAAATCTTTAAACCCCTTCCCCTACCTTCTCTCTATTAAAAAAATATATCATAAAAATTAAAATTGTAAAGCTCAATCGTAATTAATTCTCTGCAAGCAAATAAGATGCCTCATTGTGGGTCTTCCATGTGGACAATTCCAAGGATGCTCTATTTCTCCCATGTGTTGAACAAGTCGTTTCATCATAAAATGATCTAAGGCAGTTCCTACCATAACTGAGGATCTGCATGCTTTACTAGCAAACATCTGTCTGACTCTAGACGGACGACACATTACACCTGGTGAATCATTTAACATAAATATCAACTCCTCAACATCAGATACACTAAAACTGCTATTCAGACTTGTTGGAACAGTAAGCAATTTAATTTTGCTATTTCCGGTCTGTTCATAATCAATTTTAAACTCAAACCCATTCTTTTTAAAAATATTTATGTTATCAATAAGTATAGATTCATTTACTAATGTCAACTCCATTGAAATTGGTTCAATCAAGCGCTGTCCTTTCAAAACGTGTTTTTTTTGCAAGGTTTCAAAATTATATTTTTCATCTGTAGCATGTTGGTCGATAATAAATAAATTTTCTTCATACTTTGTGATAATGAATCCTAAATTAAATTGTCCAACTATTTCCATTTTTGCAAACATATCTTTTGAAACATGTTTTGTAAGTTCTTCTTCAGCAGCTGAATTATGTGAAGGATTAATTTTTGCATGAAATAAAGTTGAAGTATTTTGTTCACAAACTGTATGCCTTTGATAATATTCTTTTAACATTGAAAAATCAAATGTTGCAACTATTTTGTCTTGATCAACTTTTTTTTTATAATTATTTTCAACCACAGAAATGTCTAAAATATCATCTGCATTAACACTTTTATTAGCTAAGGTGTTTAAGGTATCTGTAACTAATATTAAATCATGACATTTTTCATTTTTTATAACTTCATTGCTGATTATTTCATTTTCATAAATGATTGGTTGCAGGATAAACTTTTCATCGGAGAGACATTTATGCTTGATATTATCACTTAAACATGGTGATAACAAAGCTGTATTTTTTACTAAATATTTTTCGTCAACATTTTTCAAATTTTGACTGTTTATCTCTTCAACAGATTCCAAATGTGAAACATCAAGAACCGGATTTTCACTCAGTTTACATTTCTTACTTTCACTGTCAAAAATTTGATCATTAGATTGACATCTTTTGATGCTTGATACTTTCTTAAATAAATTAGTAATAGTAGTATGACGAGTCTGAACTGTACGACAAGTCTGTTCAACTTCTAATGTTGAACTGCTATCATATTTACATCGAAATTGTTCAAGCGGACTAAAAACTGACTGTTTATCATTTTTCACATTATGAAACTCATTTTGAAGATCTCTTAATTTAAAAACAGACATTTCACTCCTTGATTTAAAGGTAGCATTATCTTTATAATGGTTTACTGAATTTTCGAACATACATTTTAAAGTTGATTTTACAAATGCAAGCAAGACCTTTTCTTCTTGTACCATTATCTGTCTTTTATTTGGAGTAATATTGACATCTACACAATCTTTTCTTGCTAAAACATTTAGATATATAAAAGGATACTGATGTCTATTATATGTATGATAAACTTCATTTATAACACGAAGTAATTTTGTAAAGTCACAAGGTCGATTATTTATAAAAATAAACTGCCTATCAGGCAAGTTCCTGCCTGATCCATGATCTGTTGCTGATATAAAACCATTAAGTGTAAAATGACCATCAAATTGGATCACAAAAGATGTAGGGAGATTGTATTCTTCTAAAACTGAGTTATCAAACTTGCTAATTTGCTCAATTTTAAGTAGTTGCTTAGTCTGTGTTTCTCCAAAAATACCACTAATAATACTTGGTACATTTTTATTTCCATCAGTTGAAAGAAGCACTTTTTTTTTATTACCCACTTGATTTATACACGAAAAACGAACTCCATTATTTATTAAGCTGTAAGCATATAAAACTTGAATTAATTTGGAAAATTCTTTTTTTATATTGAAATGAAACTCTTTATATCTCACAGGTAGAGTGTAAAAAAGATTAGTAACAGTGACAGTTGTTCCAGTGGCACGAGCTATAGATGTATTTTTAACAAGCTTGCCACTGTGATCAAATTCAAGTTTATATCCAACATTTGAAGTTTTTGAATGAGTCGATACAACCACATCAGCTAATGCAGATAAAGAACTTAGAGCTTCTCCCCGAAATCCAAACGTACTAACAAATGTTAAATCTGAAAATTCTTTAAGCTTAGATGTATAATGTTTTAAACATAAAGATTCAAAGTCGTTTTCTTCTATACCATCACCGTTATCAGAAACCTCTATGTATTCTTTTCCATATTCTTTAAGTCTAATTTCTATAATCTTTCCATTAGCGTCAAGACTATTTTCAACTAGTTCTTTGACTGCAGTAGCTAGGTCAAGAACTACTTGGCCGGAACAAATGTGATGAATAGAACTCTGATCAATAGGCTGTATGGCAGGAGAATTGGAATCATCAACCTTCATAACTTCTTAGAAATTTTGGTATTTACTACAAACTTATCTTAAAAACATATACTTTATTTAAATTTAAAGCATGCCACAACGACAACATAAAAAACAAAATGTAATAACTAAGTTGATATTATAATTATATTTTATTATGCGCCGTTACTGTAGTTGATAATACGCAGCTCAACGCACATTTGGTATCGCTCACAGTTCGAGCTAATATCACGCGTACACGAAATTCTAAGAAATTAAAGATTTTGCCTTGGTAGGGGTTGTTACCTTAATCGACGTTTTTTTAAAAATACTTCAAAAGCGTTAAATATATCGTCGGGGATAGTGCAAATCCGCGTAACTAGCATTGGCTACTATATTTGGATATTATTAATTTTAACACCATATATTTATTGTTGATATTACAAAAAACATGAATACTCTTTATACTAAAATGAACCCAAAATCAGTTAAAATTAAAAATATATAAAGTGTTAAACTTCTTCAGTAAAAAAAATGTACTGTAGATACGCGGTATTATCCAATGCTAGTCACGCGGTTTTGCACTATCCCCGACAATATAGTACTTTTACAAAATTTATTATCACAAAACGTTTAATACGTTTATTATACTAATGTTTTATTAATTTAATATATAAAATGGTTGTCTCTTTAGTTATGGTCAAAAATATTAAAGTGTTTAACTTTTTAAATATAGATTTTCATGGAGTTTTCAGGTGTGTTGAAAATGATAGAACTACTTATTTTGTATTATAAACCAAATAAATTTGTGATAGCGTACACTTCTTAGCAGCTGTATACAAAGGTAAACATCGCGTGTTGATTCTTTTTTTCTGTATGAGCAGTAATTTTCTAAAATAATGTTTTTAAAATACTTAATGCAATTTGGCTTCCTTTTTGTAGTTTTATTATAAATTATATAACCACTTTACTGAGTTGAAATGTAACTTAATTTCTTGCCAAGTGTTGTATAGTAGATTGAAAGCCAATATTATATTTTTTAGTTATTGATATAAAATATAGCCTATATATACTGCATCCAGCTAAAATTTATTGTCTTTGCGCTCTTAGTTGATTAAAGGTTTAGAGATGGTGTCTTGATAAAAATACTCATCTTGGGCAGATGAGTATTTTTAACATGACACTATCTGGATGTAGTTAATTGCATCCAGATAGTGTCATGTTGGAGGCCTCCTAGACAAAGACTGTAGGGATAAACAGAAAAATTCTGATAACCAATCTCGAATTCCTTCTTCATCGATTAGGCTTGCGTAGATCTAAATCTGTGTTACATTGTTGCTAGCCTAGGATGATGAATACTGGGTCTTCTTGACTCTTCTGACAGGTTTTTGCTTGTGCCTTCTTGATAGTGGCTATGCAACTCTTTCTGTTATCCCTTAATGAGTGTACAGCTCTAAAACTCAGTTTGATGGATCTAAGGCCGGCTGCTAGTAAAGTATTCCGAACTCTATTGTAGCTCTTAGAGAGGCTGATTCTATCAACAGCTGCAAAATATCAGAGTTTTAATAGTGCCATGTTGCGCATAGATGTTGTCCCTGTTAATGTATTTGGCGTGCATTGTTGAGGCCACATATTAACATGGTTAATTAACAGGACTAAGACAATTACATAGCTTATTGCTTAGAAGGCGTAGTAGGCTGTGCTCTATCTATACTCGAGTCGAGTTCTCTTTAAACTTAAATCACGGTAATAGCAATCCACAGAATTAAACATAAAAAACCATCCCCACCACCTAACTGTTTTAATATATTTTTTACAAATATACGTGATCTGCAAAGAAATCTTCCATCACTTGAATTTTACCTTTTGAAAAATTGACTAGACTTGCTTGCTTTTAGTGAGACAAATTTAAATTATACTATTCCTTCTTCAAATCTTAGTGTTGATGGGTACTATCCTTTGATTCAAAAAGACTCCAATAGTCACATGTTTAGCTCGGGGTATACATGCGCATCAACTCACCTATTTGTCTTGAAATCAGGTTCAAATCCTTTGACCATTCTTTTATGTGCTTTCGCTTTGCACCTCGTCACTATATCACTTTTCTCTTTGGTTTTTATCGATCTCTTTCTTCCCAAGACTGCACTCTTTTTATGTAATTTCTAATCAAATTGACTATGCCCTCTCTCTCTACCTCTCTGCTAATATTGTTGTATTGACTAATATTGACTGTTATGCCTATCACACTGAGTGGCTTAAATCTAACGCCACTGACTCTGCTGGCACTAAATCCTATAACTTCTGCATTTCTCAACCTATTACTCAGATGGTTAATTTTTGTGACTCGTTAATCATTTATCTCCACTCCTTGATTTATGACTTGTCTTTGTTCCTAGCTTGTGTTCAGTTTCTCCTTTTTCACCCTTAGGTGGTTCTGACTATGCAGTTATTTCTTTAAATCTTTTATCTCGTACTTCTTTTCTTTAAACCTTTTATCTCGTACTTACCCTATCATCGCAGTACTTACTATTACCCTAAAGCTGACTGGGATTCTCTTCGTACTTTTCTTTGCGATGATCTTTAGTCTGATGTTTTTTCTCTCTCAGCTGAAAAATGCGCCTCGTAGGTAACCTGCTGGATTCAGGCAGAAATGGAAATTTTTATTACGTCTCGTCGATTCCAAGTCAAACCTCATTCTACTCCATATTTTCCACCTTCTTATGCAGCTGCTAATCGTAATTAAATTTTTCATCTTTTCCAAAAGAACATTTCTCTGGAGAGCAAACAGCTATTTATTATTGCAAGAAATTGATTTAAAATGTTTGATGCTAAGTTTCATTATTTTTAGTTCACTAAATCTCACATCTTATTTCAGAAGTTAGTTCCTAAACATTTTTTGGAAAATCCTCAACAGCGGAGTTAACAAAGGTAAGTTTAACATTCCATCTCATATTCATGAGACTAATTTTATTACCTTTCCCATGGATAAGACAGAACTATTTGCAAAGAACTTTTCTTTAAATTTGACTCAAATTTGAATCTAATGGTCAATTCCAATTAAACATGTTAACCCATTTTTAGGCAATTAAATCAATGTAGCTTCCATTGCCTATGTATATATCTCGATTAAACTCTTCTACGGCTTGTAGTCCAGACAACATTCCTGTCACAGTTTTACAAAATTGTTTTCCAGAATTCTCTTCAATCTTTTCTAAAGTATTTAATAAGTATCTTAAATATCTTGAATCTAATATCACTTCTTAAACAGATTACGGCTCACAGTGGCTTGTAAATTTTAACTCCAACACAACTCAGTTATTTACTGCAAACAAATATCGCAGTACTGTCGATATTCCTATATTATTGAATGACAACCCTCTCATTGAGTCGTCTTTTTTACGTCGTCTTGAATTATCTTTTACCAAGGCCGTCCCGAGGGGAGGGCGTAGGGGGTGTCTAGCCCCCCTACGAATTTTATTGGTGAGCAAATTAGATACCGGAATTGGCAAAATTGGATCTATAGTTAGCAGTCGGTAAATGTCAGCCAACGAGGACCTTTTTTTAAAAAAAATCTTGAAAATCTCTTGTCGTTTACTACTTGACCTTTCATGGAAACCATATATACAATCGATTGCTAAATTAGCATCTGCTAAGATTGCTTCTATTTATTGAGCTCGCCATTTTCTCTTTCCTGATTCCGTTCTCTACCTTTAAAAATCTTTAATTCGTCCCTATATGTAATAATAATGTCAAATTTAAGCAGGTTCTTCTAATGATGCTCTTTCTCTTCTTGAAAAGATTCAAAAACGAATTGTAAACGCAATTGAACCTGCTAGGTCTATAACTCTATTCTTTTTTTTCTAGTAACTTCCAACTTAATAGTGGTTGCTTGCAGCCTCGTCAGGAGTGAACCAGAATTAAAAAAAACAACTTATTAGACTGCCAATGCAATTGTATTAGCAGCCTAATAAGTTATAAATGTTTGTTTGTCACCAAAAGTAGTTGAGAACTACTTGTTATGAAGCTTTGTAACTTTGTACAGTTGTAGTAATATACACAATCAACTCATTGAAACAATACATTTTTCTAAAATTATTCTCAAGTGGAGTTTGGGGTGCTAAAGGGGGGCTGTTTCGAGGTAAACTTCGACCCATTCTTTATATGCTTTTTCTCTCTTCAAGTTTTAGACTATCTTCATAATATTGTTTACTTGTTGAAATATAACAACTTATAGAATACCGTACTATAAGTAAACACTGAAAATATAATACCTTACTATAAGTAAACACTGAAAATTTGAACTTTATAAAGTTCAAATGCTTTATATATAAAGCTATAGCATCTACCGTTATCTCAATAAAGTATATTTTGTGCTGTATATCTCAATTTACATTATGAGAGGTGAAATTATTATTACATTTTGGAAAATATTTAAAATATATACTAGCACCTACCTACATTTTCGTTTTAAAAATTAGCAGCAGTAAAAAGGTGAAAAATTGCGATGAAAATGTAATAAAATATTATTATTATTTGAAAGATATTAATTATCTGATAGTTTACTTGAAGATATAAAAAAATTTATGATTAAAAACTTTTGTGTTTTGTGTTATTACTTTAATGTTATGTCATAATTAAAAACTTTTGCCTAAGAATTGTCACATTAATGACTCAAAATCTGACTCCAATAAAACCTCGCAGCGTTGTAGTTTTTTGCTGGGTTTCATTGTGACATACTTTTTGGTGTTTGGTTTAATTTCTAAAACAAAGAGATAATTTTTTACATCTTTAAGTTCTGATCTTTTGTTCTTACAAGTATTGTGCAACATTATTATGTGTGTATTTTAACTTTCTGCAAGTGTCAGTTTTTAATCTGTTGACATTTGATGTATTGGTACATTTTTTTTTAATCAACTCTTTTAATATAGAGTTTTCTTTGTTTTATTCCATTTCATGTGATCGTGAAAGGTTCATTTGAAGTAAGACATTCCAGCAATTTTTACTTGATTCTTGGCCCATGACCTAAGCATTCTTGTCAATGTTACCTCAAAACTAAAACATGCGTTTAAAAAGAAATGCTACAAAAAATCTTAAATGCTTAGTTTTTAGAAACAACATAAAATAATATATCATTTTACATGTGTTTATATATTATAGTATGGTTTTACTTATCTTTTAAATGAAGATTTTCAGCAATAATAAAAACGAAAAATTAGTTTAATTTAT